TCAACCTGGTTTTGGACTATTTGGGAGTTATCTTCCATTTAGCAAGATCAAGAAAATGAGGTTAATCACTTGCATCTCACTGAATTCTATTACCTCACCATATATTAGGCTTGGTTAGTTTAGGACAAGCTCTTGCTCTTGGCCTTGGCTTAATGACTCTCCTACTCTGAGCAGTGTGTACTTCAGGGGGTTCAGGGTAGGACATCCATGGCAGTTCTAGATGTAAGTCACAGCTGGCAAGATTGAGACACTAAAGCAAAGCTGATTGCAACAGCACTTAATTGACTTTGAATTGGCATTAAGTCTTTCTTGGCAGCCTGCAAAACACCTGATTGCATTGTCTCATTCCACTTGTGGGCAGTCATCTCTTGGCCATCATTACTCATAGGTGGTGAAGGGCTCCCTCGAGCATGACCAGGTCTGTGGGGCTGTAGTCACATGGACTTCCAGTAAAAGACCCAGGACTGCAGTTGGGATATTACTTGGTGTTAATATTGGTCCAATGTTATGAGTCATCATGCAGTAAATAAGCTACCTGTTACCATATCTATCTAAACCAAGATATGGTGCAGTGGCATATTGAACATGAAGTTCCTCAGACAAAATACTAATTAAGCTAAACCAGAACCCAGTCCACTTGACCAAGGAAATTCCACTAGAGACCACAAAACTAAACTTGAAAGGGAGAAATAACTATTCTGATACAGTTGAGTTCTGACAACTCTGAGCAGACTGTATTGATTTCCTTAAGTGGTATACTTTGAGCAAATGCACAATCAATGTCTGCTTTCCAATCCAGAGTGCAGTTCTTGCAGCAATTGTAGCTTCAATGCCATCACTATAGTAGATGTAGGGTTTGTCATACTGTTCTAGCCATTATTTGGAGATGAGGTTTTCTAAAAAACTTGGAATATGAGCTAAAATTTAAATGGTTTATTAACCCTAAACACTTAAGCCTCCTGTTTTATACAGGAGCTTCAAGCTAAGTGAAATCCAACTTGTTAAGATGGCCCTTAAAGTCTTGTCCTGTGTTGCAGTGATGTTATGCAATGTTGGTGGAAGGAGACTGCCCTGTGGTGGTTCTGCTGGACTATTAATCTGAAGACCCCAGGTTCAATAAAATCCAGAATGGAGTCTGATCATTAACTGTCAAAACATCAGGCTTTAATGTTCCTTCCCAAAAGAAGGAATTCTACCATCCTTGCCTGGTCTGGCTTAGATGTGATTCAAGGCCTGCAGCAGTGCTGTTGGCTCTTAATTACCCTCTAGGCAATTAGACCAGCAATAAATGCTGGACTAGCCAGCACTGCCCTCACTTCATGAATCAATATTTGACTTGAAATTCAATATTGTGTTGAACAAATCATTGGACCAAGTACACTAACTTTTAGTGTACTCACTAATTGTTTCTCAATTGCTCAATTGAAAGACAAATTTTAAATTCACTTGGAATAAGCTAAAACAATTTGGAGATAGCAGGAACTGCAGATGCTGGAGAATCTGAGATAACAAGGTGTAGAGCTGGATGAACACAGCTGGCCAAGCAGCATCAGGAGTAGGAAGGCTGAAGAAGGGCCTAGGCCCAAAACATCAGCCTTCTAGCTCCTCTGATGCTGCTTGGCCTGCTGTGTTCATCCAGCTCTACACATTGTTAAAACAATTTGGACTTTTTTTGCATGTCCTTACTGTAATCAGCAATTTGACTCACTTTGTCAATTGAATCTTTTTTACACTTTTAGTAAAAGGATAACCAAGTTGCTGGAAAAGCTTGGCAGCATCTGTGAAGGAGAAAACAGTTAACATTTTCAAGTCTGGTGACCCTTCCTCAACTGGTGGCTGGGAAAATGTCAGTTTTATATGCAGAAAATAGGTGGGTGGGGTAGGAGTAAACAATAGGATAGAGCTAGTAAATTGAGTTGGATCTACAATATCACTCCCTTTCAGTTCCCATGTGTTCTGCACTGTAGCTTGATGCAGATTTAATGACTGACTGACTAGTTCAAAAGGTTCCAAGCCTTTTGAACATTGGTACTCTTTCTGGTGGTTAAGGAATCTGAACCTACCTAACTTGTTTCCATAGGAGGCCAAACTGACTGACCAACTGCCTCTGATTATCGTTTGTGATCGCTTTGACTTTGTGCATGACCTGGTGTTGTACCTGTACCGCAACAACCTTCAGAAGTATATTGAGATATATGTTCAGAAGGTGAGTGGTTAGAAATTGTTTGGTGTTAAACAGTCAGTGACTTGTGCAGATGTTAAGAAGTAGTGTAATCATTCCAAAAATTGAACCACTTGTGCTCTTGCATTTCATGTTGTGGAAAGTAGTCTGCATCTTAGTAAATTCAACTTTTAGTTTTAGTTTAGTTGACAACTTTTTGTGCCTTGACAGGTGAACCCAAGTCGTCTGCCAGTTGTAGTTGGAGGGCTTCTGGATGTAGATTGTTCAGAAGATGTCATTAAGAATTTAATCCTTGTTGTACGTGGACAGTTCTCTACTGATGAACTAGTTGCTGAAGTAGAAAAGAGGAACAGGTATAGTAATCAATCTCCTACTTGAACTTGTATAGGACACTTTGTGCTTGGGCCTAAAATGGTTTGGCAGCAAGTATGGATTCCAGTTGATAACTTGAATTCTACCTTGGTTGAATATACAGCTGGAGGAACTGTTTTACTCAACACTGCCAGATCAGTGAGTCTGACTTCAGAACTTCATAGTTGCACATGAGCATTAATGCTGACTTTTTTTTTAACAGATGTCTTCCATTTTCTTAGTCTCTTAAGCTATTCAAATCAAAGCATCTACAGGTGCATTTAGTTAACTTCCTCCAAGCCTCTAACTTGAATTACTTTGCACTTTTGCTCACTCACAGGGCAGATTTTCACTGCTCATCAATCCCTGTGAGCAAGTAGGCCATTGTAATTTCACAAAAACAGTATGCTAGCTGACTTAGTCATGTGATTTCTTGAGCACTTCTCTTTGCAGATCTGTCTACCTGGTTCACTACCAAATTGGAGACGACTGATTTTTGTGCTGTTCAGAATGAGCATGCTAGTTCCACAAGTTGGCTTTACAATGCAAAGGTCATTTGCTGATCTGATTTGGCCTTTGGCCTCTGGCCTCTATTCACTCCCTTGTTTCCATTATACCAACTTTCCTCAAGATAAGATCAGTCTCTTTGCTCAGTGCCTTAACCTCCACTCAAGTGGATAATTCACATGGCCCTCTTTTCCTGCTTTCTCTCCTCCACTGGTTTTCCTGAAGGCTGCTAAAGTTGCAATCAGTTGAGTAGTTTTCTGGATCAGCCTTTACTTTAGCACTGCTGAATGCTAGTGCACTGTCAACTAACTCGAGTTTTTGTCTCTTCAGACTGAAGTTGCTGCTGCCCTGGCTGGAATCTCGCATTCATGAAGGCTGTGAGGAACCTGCTACACATAATGCACTTGCTAAAATTTACATTGACAGCAACAATAACCCTGAGCGTTTCCTCAGGGAGAACCCATATTATGATAGCCGTGTGGTTGGTAAATACTGTGAGAAGAGAGACCCCCACCTGGCTTGTGTGGCTTATGAGCGTGGCCAATGTGACATGGAGCTTATCAATGTGAGTAAGAACTACTCTAAGTGTAGTGAATGCAGAAAATGCAAATTGGGCTGTATCAAGCACTGTTTATTACTTGTCATCTTTCAGTGCTGCTTCCTCCAATTAGTGTAAATCCAGTATTTAGCTAGAAGTAGGTAAATATGACAGCTAACTTGAGCACATCAAAAATTCAACTTTAGGAAAAAGTCACTATACAAAAGTCAATGACATTGGATTGAGTATTTGCTGGATCATTTAAACTCTGAATATTTCCATGAGTGCTAGTAACCATTACTAAGCTAACTAGTGTAGCCCTGAGGAATTAAATCCTTTAACTTTCAGATTTGTATGTTTGCAGATCACACTAATTGCAAACTGAAGTGTTGTTTTTAGTTGAGTTGTAAAAACATATTTCCTTGACCTACTTTTTTAAACCTCTTAATGCAGGTGTGCAATGAAAACTCTCTGTTCAAGAGCTTGTCCCGTTATCTCGTCCGTCGGAAAGATCCTGAACTCTGGGCAAATGTCCTGCAAGAGACTAATCCTTACAGGAGACCTCTTATTGACCAGGTAAGAACTTCTTTTGGTATTTTTATCTTGCAAAATAGTTTTTGTAGACTCTTTAGATGTCAACTTTACATCTTTGTTCCACTTCTGGAATTGTTAGGAATGACGCATTTAAATTGTGTCATCCACAGTAATTGAGATTACTTTCAGTGCAATTACTGAATGGGAACTGGTTAAGCATGTGAAGCCTGCAATCTTCAACAGAAGTGAACCAGTTTGTGTGATCAAGGGAGTGGAAAATTGTGATACTGAATTTCATGTGGGATGTTTCAACTGAAGTTTTAAGTGGTGATCTTAATGCAAAACTCAAGGCTACCAAATGAGAAGTCTTGGTTTTAAATGTGGCCAACAGTTTGGAAATGATACTAATTCTGATGCATGTTCTAGAATCAGATTGTAGAGCACAACAAATCATTCATTAGCTTTTTTTGTCCAGCTTTATTCAAAGTTCAGTAAAGGAAAAAGCAATAGCTGGGCCAAACCAAGATTAGGACCTATGTGCACAGGAGGGTGGCATCCAGTCTCCTTTCTAACTGCTTCATTCAACAGTAACTGTTTTAGGTGCAGAGCCCAAGGAAGCCATTCAATATTTAGCATTCATTTGAGTCAAATGTGAAGGAGAGAATTTAACTTGCTATTTTTGACAATCAATTTAATTTCCCAAACATCCACTTTAAGGTTTTGGTCTACAATTTCTCTGGAAATAGTTGCTCTGAATAATATGAGCTTACCAAAATGTTTCTAAATTATCTCAACATCAATTTTACGTCTAGTTAATTTCCTTCTAGCTAACCAATTTCTAAATAGAGGCAGACATCCAGTTACTTCAAAGGATAGATATGCTATCAAGAATAGTGTTTGGAAATCTGACTTACCAGTTGTGCTTTTTTTCCAGGTTGTACAAACAGCTCTGTCAGAAACCCAGGACCCTGAGGAGGTTTCTGTTACTGTAAAGGCTTTCATGACTGCTGACCTTCCAAATGAACTAATTGAACTGTTGGAAAAAATTGTCCTGGACAATTCTGTCTTCAGTGAGCACAGGTAGAGCAGAAGTTGATCTTTGTACTTGCAGACATGTTAACATCTACCTCCAAATTGGATACACCTGTGATCAAGCAGTCTTGGCATATGAAATCCTAACTTGATCATTGAAGTTAGAACACTATAGCACAGTACAGGCCCTTTGGCCCATTATGTTGTGCTGAACTTTTAACCTAACCCAAGGTCAATCTAACCTCCACCCCCTGCCTTATACTATCCTCCATATGCCTATCTAATAGCCACTTGAATGCACCTAATGAGGCTGACTCCACTACCCTCTCTGGCAATGCATTCCATGCCCCGACCACTGAGTAAAGAACCTACCTCTGACATCTCCCCTGTATCTACCTCCACTCATTTTAAAACTATGCCCCCTCGTAATAGCTACCTCTACCCTAGGAAAAAGTCTGTGGCTGTCTACTCTATACCTCTGATCATTTTGTACACTTCTATCAAGTCACCTCTCATCCTTTTTTTTTCTAAAGAGCAAAGCCTTAGCTCTCTCAACCTTTCCTCATAAGACCTTCCCTCCATTCCAGGTAACATCCTGGTAAATCTCCTCTGCATCCCTTCCAAAGCTTCCACATCTTTCCTGTAATGAGGTGACCAGAACTGGACACAATACTCCAGATGTGGCCAAACCAAGCTTTTTGTATAGCTGATGCATAACTTATTCTTGAGCTAGATCCCTCTGTTAATGAAAGCTAACACACCATATGCCGCCTTAACAACTCTAGCCACCCAGGTGGCTACTGTCAGGGAACTGTGGACATGACCCCCAAGATCCCTCTGCTCCTCCACACTGCCAAGAATATTTCTGCTAACCCTGTATTCTGCTTTCAAGTTTGTCCTTCCAAAATGAATCACCTCACTTTTTTCAGGGTTAAACTCCAGCTGCCACTTCAGCCCAGCTCTGCATCCTATCAATGTCCCTTTGTAACCTAGAACAGCCCTCCGCACTATCCACAATGCGACCCACCTTCATATCATCTGTGAACATAGTTACTAATCCACCCTTCCACTCCATCCAAATCACTTGCAAAAATCACAAATAGAGGACCCAGAACATATCCTTGTGGTACACCACTCATAACTGAGCACCATGTTGAATATTTTCCATCCACTACCACCCTTTGTCTTCTAAGGGTCAGCCAATTCTGAATCCAATCTGCCACATTCCCCCTATCCCATTGCTTCCTTTTTACCTTCGGCATGAGCCTACCATGGGGAACCTTTCCAAACGCCTTACTTAAATCCATGTATACCACATCCACTGCTCTACCTTCATCCACGTGTTTGGTCACCTCTTCATAGAATTCAATAAGGTTTGTGAGGCATGATCTACCCCTCAAATCCATGCTGACTATCTCGAATCAAACTGTGCCTTTCCAAGTGATCATAAATCCTATCTCTGAGCCCTTTTCCAATAATTTGCCCACCACTGACACACAGTGGCCTGTAATTTCTGGGGTTATCCCTATTCCCTTTTTGAACAAGGAATGACATTTGCCTCTCTCCAACCTTGCGGCACTATACCCGTGGACAGTGAGGACGAAAAGATCATTGCCAAAGGCTCTGCGATCTCTTCCCTCGCTTTCCATGGAAACGTTGGTTAAATCCCATCAGGCCTGGGGGACTTATCTTCAAGTTCCTCAAAATTCTAAGTACATCTTCCTTACTAACATTGACCTTCTCTAGCCTACCAGCCTGTTTCACACTGCTCCTCCACAACTAGGTCCTTCAGTTGTGAATACTGAAAAGTATTCATTTAAGGACCTCTCCTATCTCTCTCGGCTCTGCACAAATTCCTTTTACAATCCTTGATCGGCCTTACCCTTTGGTCATTCTCTTTATTCCTCACACTGGTTTTTTCCATCTGATACATGACTTCAATCCCAAAGGATGCCACTAAATCTGGTTTTGCTACAATAGCCCTGTTTGGTTAAACTTGTTGTCCATAACTAACTGAGCATGATCTTTGATCTAGTATGCTTGACATCACTTAACTGATGGATCATGGATTCTGGATTTGGAATCCTGGGTATAGGGGAAAGCCTGCTGTTTTTCCAGTGGTCCAGGATAAGCAACATCAAGTTGGGAACCCAATTAAAAGATGTAGATATTGTGCACTTTCCTCAATTGACGAGGCAATCAGTGAGCTTGGCAAGAAACATTCTCAAACTGACTATATGCTGTTTTGTTCTAAATCCAGTAGAATGGGTTATCTTGTCTGCACGTTTCACATTCTGGTTAAATCATAAAATGGTTTTTGAGCCCATGTTGGCAGTTTTGAAGCATGAAGTAATCTGGTGCCTCACTGCTGTAGTCATACTTTTCTCAAATCAAATTCTAAGTACCTAAATCAAATCTGGCTCCACTATATTTTAGGCAGTGCAGTCCAGATACTAATCAGAATTTTTTACATCCCAATTACTCTTTACATTTATGAATCTGTCCTGTCTGGTTCAAAATGCCCTTAACCATCCAACCCCTTGTTCATGATTTTTGAAACCATCTATTAATGTTCACTCCTTTGTCTTGGTACAAAGACCAGTGCTGGTTTCTCCAATCTGTTCCTGATCCCTGGAATTCATTTGTTCCTGGGGACTAAACAGTACTGTGTAGTTTGAGGCCAAACTAATGATCTTGTCTCCATAATTCCAATCAATGAAATCCTAACATATCCAGTTATGCTGCTGGTTAATATCAATACAAATGCCATAGTTGGGTTTTTGTTTTTTATCTCTTGCACTGATCACTGTAATCCATGTAAATCTTTATTTTTTAAAAAAAAAAAAATGCTGGGCTTATTAGATTCTCTTCACCCTCATGTCCCCTCACCATATGTTGGCAATCTTGCGTGCAACTGAATCTGCTAGAGGACTACAATCAAAGCACAATTGCATAACTCTCTTCTCTTCACCCCCCTGCCCCAATCCTAGAAATCTACAGAACTTGCTGATCCTCACTGCTATCAAAGCTGACCGTACCCGTGTGATGGAGTACATTAATCGTCTGGACAACTATGATGCACCTGACATTGCCAACATTGCCATTAGCAATGAACTATTTGAAGAGGCATTTGCCATCTTTAGGAAATTTGATGTGAATACATCTGCAGTGCAGGTGAGATGAAGCATATTATAGCAAGTTTTAACATTGTTGGTGTCTTTAGTTGCACTTGTTTAACAGTGCGTTACATTCTGTAGGTGCTGATTGAGCATATTGGAAATCTGGACCGTGCTTATGAATTTGCTGAAAGGTGCAATGAGCCTGCAGTATGGAGCCAACTAGCTAAAGCCCAGCTTCAAAAAGAGATGGTTAAAGAGGCCATTGACTCCTATATCAAGGCAGATGATCCTTCTTCATACATGGAGGTGGTAGAAGCAGCCAACAAAAGTGGTAACTTTTTGCAAGATTATTCATCTGAACCCTTGTGTACTTTCAGACTTCAGTTTTAAACTTCTGGTCAAATGACTTCATGGAAGGTAAAGGTGTAGTAACTAAATTGCAAAGGCAGATAGGAAAGCATGTCTCTACAAATGGGTTGGTTGGGCAAAAATCTGAAATGTTCAACAGTAAAATGCAGAATTCATTTGACAGAATGGCTGCAAAAATTTAAGATGCAAGGGGACTTGAATACCCAAATCCCTCACATGTGCTTAACATGGTGTACAGCATAAAATGAGCAAGGCTAATGGGATGCTACTCAACCTTCTTGCAACTAAATAGTTACTTCTGCACAGTGCACTGAAACTCCATCTTGAATGCTGTGCAATTTTGGTGTCCTTCTCTATAACCAGACAACAGAAACAAGCCCTTTGGTCCAACTTTTCCATGCTGACCAGACATGCTAAACTGATCAAGTCCCATTTGCCAGCATTTAGCCCACATTCCTCTAAATCTTTCCTAGGTATAAACACCTCTGGATGCCGCCTTAAATTAGAGGAAGGATATTAGTATTGGAGGTGGATCAACTTATTAGGATAACACTTAGAATGAGTAACTGTCCCATGGGGAAAGCTTGGTGACCTGTGACACCTACCAGATCTTGAATGGCTTTGATAAAGTTGGCATAGAATACTCTTTTGTAGATGAATCCATAACTGGGGAGCAGTATTTAATTGAGGGCTGCATTAGGACTGATTCCAGGATTGGGACTCAAACTTTCAGCCTGTGGAGATGGGCTCATTGGAAACTTGATGACCTTATTTCCTCACCTAACAACAAATAGGTCAACCATGGTTAAATCAATTGGCTGAGTAGGCTGTTTTGCTTAATATGCAGACTGAGCTCATGCTCTACATGAGCAGACAGTAGCCAGGCTTTTAATCTGCTTGTTTTTCAGGTAACTGGGAGGACCTTGTAAAGTACTTGCAAATGGCTAGGAAGAAGGCCCGTGAGTCTTACGTGGAGACTGAACTTATTTTTGCGCTGGCAAAAACCAACCGCTTAGCAGAGCTGGAGGAGTTCATTAATGGTCCCAACAATGCTCACATCCAGCAAGTATGTTAAAGACTAGGTTTAAGTGTTATTGTTGGAGAAAGTCCACAGGCTTAGTATCCAGAGAAATTTTCAGAATGTTTGGTTTTTTTGGACTCAAACTAATCTGTCCACAGATGATACTACAAGACTTGGGTTTCTCCTCCAGTGCTTCTTATTATTTCAGATACAACCTCTACAGTACTTAGTGAAATTCCCTTTAAATTGTCAACTGCAGGTCAACTGTGAAAATTTAAAGCTACAAAACAGTTTTAAACCTAGATTTATAAGTGCAAGAAGTCCTGGAGTAGAAACCTGAAACAGTAATCAAATCCTTACTAGACAAGCCAATTGTGATGCTGGACTAGGAGATCCAGTTTGGATTAGCTTGTTCAAACTTAGTCACTATTTGATACCTTAAGCATATGCTGTTGCATCTTAACCTCCAGCCTTTTTATGTCATTGATAGGATGTAACTCTTTATTTTCAAAGCTAGATATCAAAAGTGGGAGCTTTTCTCAGTTGTATATTTTTCTTGAATCCTGGATGTGTTTGCAGAATCCATCTTTGAAGTTGCTTACTGAATTGAGATCTGGCTGTTAGTTTTTGTTTCCATTATGCTTATGGCTCAGTAGTGCAAACGCTTCTATTCACAGGTGGGTGATCGTTGCTATGATGACCGTATGTACGAAGCTGCTAAGCTGCTGTACAATAATGTCTCCAACTTTGGCCGTTTGGCATCAACCCTGGTTCATCTAGGAGAATATCAGGCTGCAGTGGATGGTGCTCGCAAAGCAAACAGTACTCGTACTTGGAAGGAGGTACACATTTTGATGCCTTTTGACTTGATCACAAGTCAGGATATTTTGACTACTCCAGCTTTAATTTCTCAACTGTGGTGTGTTAATCTTGGTTGTGTTGCTAAGATCATTAACACAACGGAGTACATCTTTGTCCCATAAGAATGGAAGTAAGGAGAATTGTTTCTTCAGTTGGAAGAATTGCTAAATACTTGAGGGGTGGCTAGTAGTCCTTCTCACTTCTGTTCAGAGTTGAAGTAACATAGTTACTTCAATAGGATCCTGAAAAGTACGTCAAACTTTGACTCTTCCATGTCAAATGAGGTTCAATAAACATTCTAAGTGATCCTGAAGCTGTCCTGAAATTAGGAGAACAAGTTGCAAATTTGTTTAACTTGCTAATTTGGTACAGTGAAGTAATTTGAATGGAAAATCAAACCTTGCCTTGGCTCATCAATACTTTGGCTTTTTCAGGTATGTTTTGCCTGTGTTGAGGGAAAGGAGTTCCGTCTGGCTCAGATGTGTGGCCTCCATATCGTTGTACATGCTGATGAACTGGAGGAACTTATTAACTACTACCAGGTAATGTAGTCTTTGTTGGTCACTCCATACTTTCAAGTCAGTTTTAAAGCTGAAGAACCTGTTGTTGTCTTGTGTACTTTGCACCCATCTAGCACGTTGCATGTTTTGCCACTTGTGTATCAAGTAAAATGAGTACAAAAGCCATTTCTTACTCTACCCACAAGAATAGACACATGGTTTTTTGAAACTAGTTTTTAATAAGTTACATTGAAGCTGTCCCTGGAAGTTGTGGAACTTCATGGGGCTTAAACAGTGTGAACTTGCTGTGTTTGTAATGATCTTTGTTTGTTTCTTGTTCACAGGACCGTGGTTACTTTGAGGAACTGATCACCATGTTAGAGGCAGCACTTGGTCTAGAGCGTGCTCATATGGGTATGTTTACTGAACTGGCTATTCTATATTCCAAATACAAGCCCCAGAAGATGAGGGAACACCTGGAGCTCTTCTGGTCCAGAGTCAATATTCCCAAGGTAAGTTAACCTTTCCCCTGACTTGATATGAGGGAGTTGTGTATCTTTCTGGCTTTCAATTACTAACTGCATGTAATTGCACAGGTGCTAAGAGCTGCTGAGCAGGCTCACCTGTGGGCAGAGTTAGTCTTCCTGTATGACAAGTATGAAGAGTATGACAATGCCATCATTACCATGATGAGCCATCCAACAGATGCATGGAAGGAGGGGCAGTTCAAGGACATCATCACCAAGGTAAGCATGGCAGCTGGACAAAATTTTTGAGCCATTGGTAAGGGGCAGTTCTGTAGATTAGAATAGTTTCCTTGTGGTTTGAACAAGGCTTTTTTTTTTTTTGGACATTTCCCCACTTTACCCTTGATTTTATATAAACTTGTCTTCACTTGAAAACCAATACTGGGAGATGTATTAAATGCAATCAAATATTCCCTGTATTTTGGCAAAGGGAGTATAATATGCAAAGATGAAGCTCACTTTGGTAGGTGAAATGGAAGGACAATGTGTGTAGAGACTGGTGCACAAGAGGATCCTGAGTAGTTGATCAGAGGGGCAGAACAGAAGATGGAGTTAAATATGAAGCAAGAGTCTGGAAGACAGGAAATAAGGTAGAAGTCAACTTGAAGGTTAAGCATACTTTTCTTGCTCCAATGTCATGGGGAATAGGAGAAAAGCTGAAGGCCCGGAGGTTTGTGGGTGTATAATAGCAGCTATGACAAATGTAGTCAAGATGTGTAGAACCAGCATCTAATTACTAGTAAATGGGGTTAATAGGGGATAGCTAAACTGCAGGAGGGCATCTGTAGTCTGTTCAGCTATGTAGAGCTGCACCAAATATATAATTCAAATCAAAAGCAACTTTTTGCAATAATGGTGAGCTAACCAGTTGAGGAATTATTTGATTCACTGCCATGGAGTTGGTTTGTGCTGTCCAGACAGGAGCAAAATGTTATGTTGAACAAAAAGGTTTGTTGGGCCACAACTGGAAGACTGCATGCAATTCTGGCTGAAGGATGATCTTGTCTAGCAGGATGCTGCTTGGGTTGGAGGGTCTGAACTGTGAACTTTGCTAGGCTTGAGTCCTTTAAGAAAAGCAAAGGTTGAGGGGACTTGATGTGTAAGATTTGAGGGATGTGGGGTGGACCAGAAGGGACTTCTAGTAGAGGAGTTAGTAACCAGCGGACATAAATTTTTAGGCTGAGATAGTAGGCTAAAGAGTTGGCTCTTTTCACCAGTGGTGGCCTGTGTCTGGGACTTAGCACCTGGAAAGGGTGGTTTAGTCCAATTCCTGACATTTGAGCAAATTTTGGTCTCTTCCTTATTCCCATAATGCCCAGGACTATGGGCCAAAAGCTGGAAAATATGACTAATGTTCTTTTGTCTGGCATGGATATGATTTGGATATGATATGAATAACTTGCTGAAAACCTGAACCTCCATTTGAAGTGTAGAAGATCCTGAATGGTCTTAAAGGCATGTCCTTTCCACTTCAACTTTTGGGCCAGTTCACATCTTGGACTGTTTAATGTTTTTGGCTGGCATGCAAAGTTGTTCTGCAACTTTGGAGCACTTGGAATTTTTAAGGAGCAGGACGATTTGAGTTGGACAAAGGAAGCCAAGGCTATTGGAGTAGATGAGGGTGGAATTTGAAACAATCAGATCTTCAGCTTGAGTCGCTGAAAAGGCCAAATCATAACTTCTCTAGTATGGAAGTAGGCCAAATAGCCCATCAAGTCCAGTTCCATACCAATGCTGTAAAGAGCATTCTATTCAGTCTGCCTACACAAGGCCTGTTAGATTCCCAGGTTAGGTAGACTGGCCATTTTCAGACTGGGAGGAAACAGGTGCATGGAGGAAATCCATGCAGACACAATATGCAAACTCAATGCAGTTGCCTGAGGGGGGTGGGAATTGATCCCAGGGTCTCTGGTGCTGTGAGGCAGCTGTGCTACCCCCTTGTCTAATTGCCCTGGTAATTTGTATGTTCATACTTTTGTAAGTTTGAAATCAAGATTTAATGTTTTTCGGCTATCATCCTGCATTAAAATAAGAATCAGGCTGTGGTCTGAACTTTGTTTCATCTAAACTGTCACAGCTGAAATGGTATGGAAAGATTTGTTCAGCACCTACCACTAGGTGGTGCTCAATTTCTTGGACTGTGCTACCTAATGGCTAAAGAAGGTATGTCTAAGCTGTGGAGGTGAAGCTATAACAGTACACTTTCAAAGTGACTGACTGCATAAATGAATTTGTTTGCATAAACATAAGCTTTCTGTATATTGTAACATTTGGCTAGCTGTAAGAAAAGATTTAGCTTTCATAATTACCTGCATTCAAATTTCATTGAAGGTGGCCAATGTGGAGCTCTATTACAAAGCAACACAGTTCTACTTGGAGTTTAAGCCTTTATTACTGAATGACCTTCTCATGGTGCTATCTCCTCGTCTGGACCATACACGTGCTGTGAACTACTTTACTAAGGTACTTCGTACAGTTTACTCTGCCAGCAAAAAACACACTTGTTCATATGAACAAGTTAAGTAACTGCTACTAATTGAGTCACTGGCATGAGACATTTTCAAAGTTAAGGACACATTGAATTCCAGAAGTAAAACACTGCCACGCTGGAAACAATTCAGGAAGGAGCTTGTTGCTAATCAAAGCAAAATTTCAGTGTTGCTAATCTTTAAAAATCTTTAATGTGCTTAGTGAACTGATTTGAGTCCAGTTCTGCAACAAATAACGTTTTAGCTTCAGACTTTGAGTACCAGCAGGCTGTTTCACTATAAATATTCATGCTGTCATTCCTGCTTTTTTTTGCCTTGCCACCCCCCCCCCAAAATTAGGTGAATAATCCTGTGATTTTAAATGCCAATTGAATTTGGATTTTAGTCTCTTAATTGCCCACCTAGTTGACATCACTTTTACAGAAGCTGAATGCCAAACTTTCTGGTCTGAAAGGTTTGTGGTGCTAGTGGAGCTGTAGGCAGAATAGCAATCACTTTTTTGCCTGCCACAGTACTGGATGTGATGAGTTTCCATACTATAAACCTGATGGATAATTGTGATGTCCCAGGGATTAATGAAGCCTTTCTGAAATCTTTTTGAACAGCTACACAGGAAGGTAGATCTTTCAGACTGTGTAGCATATTAAATTTGGCTTTAACCAAAATTCAGTGAGTCATCCACCACCCACATGACCTACAGGTACCACTTGCCTCTGGTACTGGTGGCCCTTGGGACTGAATTTATAATGATGCTGAAGATATTTGCAGTGCTTAGTTCTTTGAACAGGCTTCTACTTTGAACTTGTTTGCTCACTGTTTTTGATCATGTCTTGCGACAGTTACAAGAGAATCTCAAATCCAAGATTTGCAAATAGAGTTCTGGTTTTTCAGGTGAAACAGCTGAATTTGGTTAAACCCTACCTGCGCTCTGTACAAAGTAACAACAACAAGTCTGTGAATGAATCATTGAATAATCTTTTCATCCAAGAGGAAGACTACCAGGTAGGTGAAATGGAATTGAATCTGGTGCTTGCAAAGCAAGCAACTTGCTGCATTTCACTGTCCCATTTTTGAGCTTCTGTGACCTGAAAAGTAGTAGAAATTTGCTCAAAGCCTTGACAGAATTTCTGCAGATTTTAATATGGACATTCTTGAAGGTGTCTGTGATCTGTCAATAGACAGACATTTTAAAAACTAGGGATGGGGCAAGTCCTTTGTCCCCTTAAGACTGTTCTGTCTTAAAAGGAGGATTCCACTTGATTATCCCCATTCCTGCTTCTCAATCTTTCATCCCTGCCTTTGAATTTTGAAACTACAGGGGCACTTCTTCAAAGATTGTAAAAGCAACGACTTGTCACCAACAATTTTACCTCTACCCCAGAAAGGCTGGCCCCTTGTTTTTAAGTTTATTAATGTGGATCCTGGTCCTTTTTTGCATAGCATTCTTCCAAGTGAGATGCATTTACCTGTTTACCTGTCTACCTGTACTGAAATTTCAATGTTCCCTTCTCCAACTTAGGCACTTCGCACATCGATAGATGCATATGACAACTTTGATAATATCTCTCTGGCTCAACGGCTTGAGAAACATGAACTGATTGAGTTCCGACGAATTGGTGCTTATCTGTTCAAGGGCAACAACCGTTGGAAGCAGAGTGTGGAGCTGTGCAAGAAAGACAGACTGTATAAAGTAAGATCTCTGCTGCTTTTGTGTTCACTACTTTTTTCTTGGTCACCTGGTAAAGTGGTGTCAAGTTTTTCGTTTTGAGTTTGATCAAACAAAGCATGTGCACCCTTTTTTTTTTGTCACACGCTTGACACTGCAGTGAATGGTGTCTTACTTGATGGGAACAGGATTTTTCAAAGCAGTCTCCCAGACACTCACTTCGTGACTAGAATGCAATGCAGATAAGTTTATACTTCTCTCCTTTGTTTGCAATGAACATCAGTATTCATAGGATAGAGGATAACTTTGCATATTAGATGTCTTGAAGTGAGATTGATTTCTAATGTTAGACCAGATTTATAAATCATTACGAGTAATAGAATCCCTACCGTGTGGAAACAGCCCCTTCAGCCCAAGTCCTTACTGATGCTCAGAGCATCAACCCAGACCCATTCCCTATAACCCACCTAATCTACGCATCCCTGAACACTAAGCAATTTAGCATGGCCAATCCATCTAGCCTGCATATCTTTTGGACTATGGGAGGAAACCAGAGCAAACCCACACAGATCTAGGGAGAAGGTCCAGAGAATGGTGGAATTTCCACCAAGGGTGGAATTGAGTCCAGGTCCCTAGTGCTGTGGCAGCAGTTAGGGCAGCAGTCACAGCCACCATGCTGCCCTGTATAAGCTTTCAATCAAGCATTCCAGTTTTGAGATAAATACCTCAATACACTTTTGTGCAAATGCAATATCAGACATGCTGAAGGGGCCAAGTACTTGCACACTTTTCTGTGCACAAATCCAAATGCTGGAGGGTAAACTGAGGAACCTGTGGATGCCTGGACCATGTGCCATAGCATTGCAAGTCTAAGGAGAAAGTTAGTTTTGCAATACCATGTTTTGGATTCAGCTCTGGCTACTGTATCTTGAGTTGGGGTCTCCACAAAATGGAGTGAAGACTGCAGCCTTTCTGAAAAAAGGCTTTCCCCTTTTGGAGGATGGATCAGTTTGACTGAAAGCTCTGAACTACAAATAGGAGTTGAACTCTAGTATTAAAGGCACTGGTCCTGGTTTTTGGACTAGGACACTTCACAAGAAATAACAATAAGGGAAAACATATTTTGTTCGGAATGCCAGTCATTCAGTCCCTTAATCAAGCTATGCACCTGTGGGGGGTCATATCTCCTTGACTTCCAGTTCTGAAAACGGCAGCTGCCTCCAAGCCTGAAGTCTGCAGTACTCAAAGAAATTGAAGCTGTTCAGTGAACTGATTTTCGGTTGGTAGAGACATTACCATTGCCCAGTGGGCCACTTGATTTTTAAGTTTGTGTTTAAACTTAAGGCAGGTTGACTGATTCTAGTTTAAATGAACTGGAGGTAGTGTACATATATCCTAGTCTGCAAAGGAGGGATGTTTGATTTAACCTTTCTATTCAATGTTGGCTTTGCAATTACTATTTGAAACTTGAGAATGTTGCAAGTGTCCATTCAGACATCGCTATGTTTAGACATTAAGCAAGATGTTGTTTGTTATGAATACTTACCCATTGTTCCTGAGCATTGTTTCTATGATGTAGAACTGGAAGTAGAGTTCCAATTCTGAAGATCATGTTAATGCATAAGCAGTGAACTGATATAATGTAAACAAACTAAAATTGCATTTACATTCTCAAGATCCAGACCCCTGTGTTGTTAAGTTCCACCCATTAAAATTTCCTTGGCCCATTCAGGACAATTGGCAAGAAATGACACCTTTTGACTCTCTGAAGATGCTCTGGCTTAACACCACATAGCATAACTCTTGTATGCATTCATTGGATACAAATTTTCTAACACTTGTCATAGACAACTGAAGCTACTGAGGAAGTTTTTTTTAAACTGAAGAGCTTATCAGGTTACTTGATACATTGCTAAGTGTATATGCACAAGTTTTAATGTCTTCCATCTCTCTCTCCCTCAGGATGCTATGCAATATGCGTCAGAGTCCAAGGATACTGAGCTTGCAGAAGAACTGCTTCAGTGGTTCCTTGAGGATGGGAAGAATGAGTGCTTTGCTGCTTGTCTATTTACTTGCTATGACTTGCTGAGGCCAGATGTTGTGCTTGAGCTGTCTTGGAGGCACAACATCATGGATTTCTCCATGCCTTACTTCATCCAGGTGATGAGAGAGTATCTCTCAAAGGTATGTGCCCAGTATGCTGTTGAGTTTCCAACATCAAATGAGATTGACTGACTGTCAAACTTTATATAAACTAGCTGTGGTTGCTGCAGTTGTCAATTCACTTCCAGAGTGATTTTTACTGGGGTATCTCCTTGACTCCTACAGCGGCACAGCAAGTGCACACTTGCATTCCGGGCTAAATTTGCTGTTTTTTTGGCTAGTTTAACCTAATGGTTGTAACATCATGGTTAATGCTAATTTAGTAAAATCCTGATTACTGGAGTATTGCCCCTTCGTCCCATCAATTATAATGAAGAATGTTTCAAATGAACATGTAGCATAAATAAAAACTTAGAATGCTGTAAATCAGAGCAGAAGTTTTTCTCTTTTTTTTTTAAAAAACTCAGATCTGGCAGCATCTAGAAAAATCAGTTCATGTTGCAAGTCTAGTGACCCTTTCTCCAGTTATAGTCTTTGTTCCTTCCACTCTGCACATCACATTTAATGTAAGTAAAACAAAAGAACTGTAGTTGCTGTAAATAAACAATGCTGGAGAAGCTCAGCAGGTCTGGGAGCATCTGGAGGGAAATCTGTTATGTTTCAGGTTGAGTGACACTTCAGTTCCAACAAGTAGGAAAATTGTCAGTTTATATGCAGAAGACCAGGTCAGGGGAGGGGCAAGAATAAAGGTTGGGATAGCCCAAAGAATAGTTGGATGGTCAAAGGAGTGGATAATGACCTGGCTAGGAGGTGTTAACCATCCTGATGTTCTCATTTTATTTAAATCCTTGCATTCAAAAGAGTCTGTTCCTGACTATCCACTATCAATTGGATATAGGCTGAACTCATGATTTGGCAGTCCACATTTTGACGACTCAATAACTGGCCAAGTTAGCACAGATTGGCAGAAGTTGGGTACTAAAGTGCTTTTCACAAAGCTTAACATCTCAAATGTGCATTCAATAATACAGGTTAAAATGTAACTTTGGCTGGCATGGGTTCTTATTGTTGGAAAAGCCTACAGTACTATTGTGCTCCATTTTAATCTTTTTTTTTGTACAAAGCTGGTCCAATCTTATCATAGTTACAGGTTTTTAAAACCCAAAGATTCATGCTGGCTGTTAGGTCTGTAGCAGTGAATGTCCTGTAGAGCCATAGAGGTATTGTAAATGAAGAACAAATTGCTTCATAATCTCAAATCATCTAATTAGTGCTAAACTGCTGATCAGTTGCCTGCTTCTAAAACTAATGTTCACAATTTTAGTAGGTCCCCAATTTTTTTTATCCTGACTATTTGAACAGTGAGCTAAATGTTACATTCTGAGCTAGTGAGTGACTTCTGGTATCAAATAGTCTGATTTTTAGATGTTTCCCATAATTGACTTGGGATGGCTTTTATTTTAACAGGGATCTGGTGATAAATTTTCAAATGCATCTCCAACAGTGGATTTTTACATGCAGTGTTGTAAACGATTTTGTTTAGGTTTCATAAGCAACTGCTGTTTTGACATCAAGAAGCTAATGTCCTCAATGGGCATACAGCTGAGGCCATTCTTTATATTGACCTTGTGCTTAAAGTTTGTGTAGCAATTCTTTGAATCAGGTAGATGCTGCAGTTGAGATTGACAGCAAGAAATAGTTAACTTATCAGTTCCTTTACCCGCACCTGCAGTGTAACTTCAATGTCTTATCTAACAACCTTGCATTCCTGGGCCCCACTATTTCCTGTGCAGAATTGTGACCTCTTAATATGCTTGCTGTGTCTTGATTTTATTCAAATGTTTTTTCTGTACCTGTTGCAAGCTACCTGGTTTTGCTTGCAGATGAATGGCATAATAAAATTGGGTTTGAAATCCAGTTCAACTTAATGCAGCCAGTGTAAATTTAAGTAGTGACAAGTTTGCCAGTTCCCTTGGCAGATGGTGGCTGTGGTTACCTTGGTGATCTTGTGGCAGTGTCCCATCTCTGGACCAGAGGTCCAGATTAAAGTCCTGTCCCTGTCTGAATGGTTTGGTTTTTTCAAAATGCCTATTGCCTTGGGGCTGCATTTTCTTTTCCAGCTGAGCATAAACAGCAGGACTTTGATGCAATTTAACCTCGAGCTAGATGAATTATACAATGTACAACTACATTCAATCTGGAAGCTGGTTTGTGAAATAGCACCTTTTTAAACATAACACTTGGGGGTAGCCAGTGTCATGCAATCTCCCGAGTATGCATGGGATACTGAAGACATGCAACACTTTAAGTAGTCTCTGCATTTGTAAAATAAACATTCTGTCAAGCTTCCATCTTGCTATGATCAAGTTACTTGTCAATTTTATTCTGCCATCATTCATCTGTGTTTGTCCTTTCCTGATGTGGTGTACACTATGCTGTTTACTGTTCTCTCCCTTTCCCTCCCATTTCTCCTTTTTACTCTTTGCTCCTTTTTTGTTTTGCTGTTTTCTACCTGCTTTATTGTGCTGGACAAGTTTGGATTCTAAGCTGCTACCCTCTGAATTCCCTTGCAGGTTGATGAAATAAAGAAAAAGGTGAAAGTTGACTCATTTTCCATCTTTAGTTCTGGAGACTGAAACTCAGGAAATCTGCATGAATTGTTTCCTTCCCATCTTACACTGCTGCTTTTAATTCCACTAGATCCACTGCAAATCCTTCCGAGCAGAGTTAGAGCAGTTCAAGTGTTTAGTGAGGACCTTCGCAGTGACCTTTTAAGTCACTAGCAGGAATTGGCAGGTGGCCAAATAGTGACTGGTTCACAATCCCTGCCTTTTCAGAAACTAAAACCGGACTTTGTTTTTACCACTCTTAACTTTGAAAACTTTCCACTGTGGTATTAGACCTTTTTTAATGTGAGTATTTTAAAGATGGTGATATAAGATGCAAACTGTCTAGCCTCTTCAGAGGATTGTGAACCAGCTTATGAACTATTGTTAATATTTTCAATGCACTTTGACCAACATGAGGCAGTTTGAGGGGTTTCATGATGGGACCTGACCCACACACTGTTTCTGCTAAAGCTGTCCCTGTGGTGTCTTTGCTCAAAGGACTGGCTTTTGCCAAGTCATTGAAGAGTAAGAAAGCTGTTCACCTCAGGTACTCATTTTAGGTAGTTTGCCCAAGTGTTTAAATTAGCAAAGCCCATTTTAATGAGAAACCTTCAATACAATGGAATTAGAATGCAACATCAAAGGATCTTGAAATCAAGCCACAGTGAAGTGGCTCGACATGGTGAAAATATCCCCACAGGGCCTCAAGATAAGTGGGCAGCAGTGTTGTGGGTACAGCCATTCAGTTGCCCCCTCCAAGCCACTGTGTGTGTGAAAAATGGGTAACTGAACTGCAGTGTTTCTTAACACCTTGAGCATGTGCAACTCCATTTTGCAAAGGGAGCTTGTTTTTTTGAAGTCATGAAGCATTTCTGCTTGTCTGCGTGTGCATTTGAAGAGCCTGTTTGGCAAAACCACCTTGGGCCTCTTTTGCTTCAGTACTTTTGCCTCTTTTTCATGCACACAAATGCTAAAATGAAACATCAGCATGTTTTTATCTACTAAAACTGCAGTTTGCTGGCTGCAGTTTATGGAAAAGCCTTTTGCACCAAAGTTTCTGGTCTAATTTTTCTACTAACTGCTATTAACAAAGGGGTATGTAAAGAATTAAGCTGTTTGCAGATCAGTTAAAGCAGACTTTTTTGTGCAGGACTTGATCTAGTCCAATAACCATGATGCTTGCTTCCTTTAGCCTAGTTCTAGTTAGACACTTTTTTAGATGGGTTTGTGACTTGGTCATTGTTGCATCTAAGCTACTGAATCACTTCCCAAGTGAGGAAAAAGTGCACCAATCAGGCATGTTGAGAATGTTCAGATTGATTGTCAGTTAGCAGTTCCTTAGTGTTGTACATTCCCCTTAGTCTTGTGGCAAATTACTGACGAGTTACAATGAAAAGTGCTCTGCCTTCCCCAGAAAGGGAAACAGCATGCATTTTTCATGGCAAAGTGTAATATTCCTTCTTTTGGAAGGCACTTTGGTCTACAGAATAAGAGTGCAATATTAAAGTGCACTGAATACTTGCAAAGTGTATGCAATTATTGTTCTGTAAAGACTTCAATTTTATCTAATGTAAATTAACTAGAAAACAGAGCAGGAAGGACCAGTGGACAATAATTAAGAATTTATGGTCTTGAGATTCAGGCTGAAGATTCCATCTTCCAGTTATTTGTGAGTAAGGAGGAACATTTGGGGGGAGAAATAAGAATACAAAAAGCAAGCTGCAATAGAAGATTATTTCTTTGGCTACAATGGCCAAACTCAGCAAACAGCTTTTTGAGAAGCCATTAGCTTGTTCATAAGTTGGTTGCTTCCAATATCAGTTGCCCATGTTGGTAATTATAGCATAGCTCTGAATCTGCCTTTTGGCCACTTCTCTGCATACCTCTGACTAATACAGTAATATTAACATTAACAAGCATGAGCTCAGGAGACCATTCAATGGATCAGGTCCCAAGGTGTAAATATTGCATGCAGCAGTTAATTGTCAGCATATCATGTGGCAGTTTAAGCTCTTACTAACAGCTTGTGCACTTGCATAAGTATTTGATCTTGATTTTGTTAACATTGCTTGAACCTTGCTAAAGGATTAAATGGCTTGTTTTGTCTTAAGCACATGAGCCAGTTGATGAGTAGTAGTCCTAGAGTTGGCTGCTGCCCTGAGGAGGAAAGGGCAATTGAGTTTTTGTCTCCCTGCCCCCCCACCCCCACCCTGCACAATGGAGGCTGTTGTTGGCAAGTGCACTTGCTCCTGATGCCTGCCTGTTCACTGAGCCTGACTTACTACTTTCCTTGCCGCACTTGCTTACAGTAAAGCACTTTTTTTTGTAATGGAATGCTCCCAGCGAGGAAACATGGCTCTCCCTTGTCATTCCTGTGGATATAAACATCCTGTTCACCTCAACACAAACATCTCTAGATTTTTGTTGAGATATTCCTTAATATTTTTAACCAATAAATTATAGAAGTTTAATTTTCTTTGTTAGGCAACATATAGCTTAAACTACAAGAGATTCTCTACTTTTGTAGCCAAACTATATCCAGCTACAGTTGTTTCACTGAAGTAAAACTGGATCTTCTAAGGACCTGTCTAAAATTGTTATGAATCTGGCTGGGCTTCAGTTTTCCCCATTGAATAACTTCTGATTCTAGAACTGACTTTTTGGCTGATATCTGTGTAAATTACTTGCCTCCAGGCTAGGTATATCAAGCCTTTCATCTTTTCAGTCTAAGCTCACTTGGTGTAGAGGGAGCATTTTCTCCACTTTCTGGCTGTACTGTATATTGCAGGTATGTACAGATTGACTGACTCCCCCATACTAGCTGCAGCTAGTAACCAGAAATTAAATCCTGTATCCTGATTCAAATGGCTTTCTCTTTACCACTGTCCCATAGCAACATGAGACATTGGCAGAAACACATGATGCAGGTTAAATCTCTTTGCTCACCTCCAGTGAATGTTTACAACCCAATATCTACAGTCCCTTTTTGAAAACAGTCTATTCCATGGTATACCTCAGCTGGAGACAGTAGAAGCAGTCTGACTGTCCATATTTTTTACCTTAAGAGGCCTTCCCTATGATTTGTGATCAAACTGCTTGGGCAGAACTAGTCACCTGGGCTGCCTTAACTAAACGTAAGGCAGTCCTAAAACATGAACTTGGAATGATGTTTAATACTTCACTGGATACTAATTGCTATCTTTCACAAAGCAAAGTTGGTTTGACTTTCTTGAAGTTAAAAAGGCACTTTGTATTTTGAAATTTACTGTAGGATTTTCAGCCCTTCTATTTGGGGGGAGCTTGTCAACTTCTATATAATTGCTCAGCCTGGATTGCTAATGTAGAATATGGCAAAATGGGTTAATGTTGCCTCACTAGGCCCTAGAAAAGTATTGAATAACTCTGTTAAAGGCTCCAACTTTGTATATTGCCTAGATGCCCTTCTCAGCATTGGAAGGGATAACGCCACTAATCACAGATGGAGTCTTTTGTGGGTTCTTGTTAATGCAACTGCATTAGTTTTTGCTCAGCTGGCTTGTTCTATTCCTATTCTGTAATTTATCAGCAATTAATAAACATTCCAACTTGGTGATAGTTACTGGTTTGTCTTTGGGAGCATGAGTCACACCACTCTAGAGAGCACTTGATGTTTTCAACTAATTAAGCAAACGTTGTTTGGATGTGTTTTTTGTTTTCCTGCCCATGTCCCTCATTTCCCATCAGTGAACTGGGAGCCTGCTCCCAGTCCCCATGTTGCTTGTGTTGGCTTGTGGCTCACCTTGATTGGCAGTTTGAATATACTTCCTAAAGTCCTGCATGCAATTTCCTTAGTGAGGAGCTTTTTAATCGGAACACCAGGATTTAGAGGAGAAAATAACATTCTGGTCTGCATTCAAAGCAGCAGTTTTTTAAAAGGTTCCAGAAACTGATCAATAAACTGAACTAGTCAGCCTTGCTGTACTAGTTAAGCTGTTTGTTTGCATTATAATCCATTGAATGGTCACTTCCCTGCTTTGGAAATTTTTTCTAACTTGAGCATTCATAAGGCTTTTCCTTCTGATCAGGAAACAAATCTTGCCCATGTGGGACATGTGACTGGTAATTGTTTGGTAATTGTTTGGGTTTTTCAGGTGGATAAGTTGGACATCTCTGAATCTCTGAGGAAAGAGGAGGAACAGGCTACTGAGACAACCCCCATTGTTTATGGTTTGTTGCTTGACCTTTCTTTGCTTGTTAACTGGTGACAAATTTCATTGTAAATGCCTGAGTAAATTGAAGTGCTATAATTCAAATCCTTCAATGAACAGATCGCTTTCAATCAGTAAGTGACTACATGAGTGCTAACCTGTAGGCATAAGTAGCATGTTTGACCTGTGCACGCTAAAGTCAAATGCCAAAGCCTGGATCAAATTCAAGCTGATTATTTGACTGGTTCAGCACATTGTGCTTCAAATGAAGTGCCAGATGGGTTTATTATCAACCACCTCTTAACTATTTTACTAGATTGTTCAGTTCAAATTGCTTGCTCCAAACTCTGATCCTAGTGACACTGTCTGATCACTTCAGTGAAAGATTGTGGTGCTTGTATCTAGGGCACTAATCTGTTGCTCAGTGGTCTTGATTAATCCTTTTGAATCCACTGTCCATGACCTTGTCAGCTGTAGTGAACCCTGAAATGCAAAGCAGTTCAAAAGATTGATCATCCCAAAAAAAGGGATGGCCTTGTGTGGAAAAACTTAACACGTCTACTATGGACTGCTACCCACAGTCTCTCTCTTTATTTTTTTGAGGAGGCAGTGGTCTAGTGGTATTATCACTGGGCTGTTAATTTGGCAACCCAGGTAATGTTCAAATACTGCCAGAGTAGATGGTGGCATTTGAGTTCACTAAATATCTGCTATTGAATCTAATGACCATGTAACCACTCAATGGTCAACTAAACCCATCTGGTTCACTCGTTCCCATTTTTCAGGAAGGAAAATGCCATCCTTACCCTGTCTGGACTACATTTGACTCCAGACCCACAGCGATGTGGTTGATCCTTAAAATTTAAGGATGGGCAATAAATATGGCCCAGCCAAAAATGCCCCATTGAGTGAAATTTTAAAAATTGGCTCACTTAACTGGCTGAGTGAAAGGTTAAATGGAGAGATTTGTCAGATGCAATGGTCATCTCATTGGAGCTGGGTGTTATTTTATGCTATGATCTTAACAGACCATAGTGTGGTGTTCTCATTAGACAACTGATTTAACCTGAATCACAAGCAAGGAGAGAGACTGAGGAGTTGTGCTGGTGCAGGAATTGAACCTGTTGCTGTCACTGCATCACAAACCAGCTGTGCAGCCAACTGCAAAACCAACACCATTTCATTAGTGAAGTTCTACACTAGTAACCATAGCTAAAATACTAGAGTTCATGGATTTTTGACTGAAATCTTGCTAGTGATTGAGCCTGATATGCTCGAAGTTCTCTTTTTACTTCAAATGCCCCATATCTTGGATCACTTGAGCAAGCTATTTAAAATTGCCTAAATGCACTTTTTTTTCCCTTCTATGCAGGTCAGTCACAACTCATGTTGACAGCAGGACCCAGTGTGAGTGTCCCTCCACAGGCAGCCTATGGCTACAGTTATGGTGCCCAACCATATGCTCAGCCTGGCACATATGGGTATAGTATGTAAGGCAAAAGTTTCCAAGTAACTCCTGCTCAGCATCTGCCAGTTTCCCTCCATCTTGCAACAGGGAAGAGAAAGCAAAGCTCTTTATATTGTATGTCATGAAGGACTTCAGTCTGTCTTTTTTCTAGTTCTGAATGTTTGGATCACAGCTGTCTAACTCATCCCTCACATTCCATGTTAATTAGATGTGATTTTTATTTGAAGGGGAATGGTTGTTGCATTTAAAGTGCTCAGTGTGAGCTCATGTCCTGCAATACAGTCTATTGTAAAGATTTGCACTCTAGTGAGACAATACTTTTAATGTAGTATTCCCAACTCTGAGCAGCTTGTGGCTGTATTTAAAAAAAGCAGTAAATCCTATTGTATTCATTATGGTAGAAGTTGAGTACAGGACTTGGCTGCTTATGTTATGTTAAGCAACAAAAACACTAATCACAGTGCACCCAACACCATGATCTAAATGTTGGAAATTGAGTTTGTTTATTTAAAAAAAAAAATTGGCAAGTTCACCTGACTCATGATTTAAAGTTGAACTCCCAATCTATGCAGGCTGTTTTAAAACCATGCAGAGGTGTTTAAAGCCCCTACTACAACTGTTCCCTCCTTCATTGTTAAGGATGGCCTGCTGTGCTAATGTGGGACCACTATTTTGACAGTCCCTAAACCCCGTCTGTTTCCAACCCTGTGCTAGGTCTTGCATTTGCTGGATATTGTGGTGTGTTAGGTCACTGTCTTTGAGTGTACAGAATAAAGAATTAACTCCTGTCAGTTTTTTGTGCAATTTGAAAGCAGATTGGAAATAAAAACAGGACTATGAATCTCTTTTTTTGTTTGTTTTTGGTTTTTTTATTTGTTTCATTCTCGATCACGTCTTCTGACTAGTCATAACTAGCTCTAACTGATGGAGTATGTAAAGAAATGGGACTACAGTTCCTAAATTAACCAGGATCCTCAGATGAGCTGCTTGTTTAATAGAACTAAGTATATAACCCAGTAGCATACCAGTGAACATATGTAGGATCCACTTAACCATTTCACTTCCATTTCTAAACCAGTCTGTTTATGGATGTTATCTAAGTGAAATCCAGAAGTACTGAAGTCAAGCCTGCAACTGAACACCACCTATTTGGGTAGATACATTCTACAGTTTTTTTTTTTTTTTTTGGAAGTAATACTACTTCCTTAGTATTGGAACAATTGGAAAGCTAGGAATGTATTTGGAGTAATGACTAGCACATCATCCACTGAATAGTACACAAACTCACCATCTGCTGTGGTAGGATTCAAAGCTGGATCTCTACAACAGTGGCTGAAACTTGACTAACTCTGGATTTTATGGAATTCATGACTAACCATGAAACAATTATCAATTTGCCCAAAGCTCATCTGGCTCACTAATATCTTTCAGAGGGAAATCTGCCATCTTCACCTGGTCTGGCCAGTGGGTCTGAAGTCACAGCAATGTGGTTGACTGCCCTCAAAGCCCAAGCATTTCAAACTTATCAATCACTACATCTCAGAAATAAAACAAGACAGACCAGCTGCACAGACCTTTGCAAATTCAACAGGGCTCAGTCTCTTCCAGTGCAAATGCCTCTGATCTGGGGCCTATTCTCAATATTGGTGGAGATAGCTCAACACCCTGAAACTGAGGAATGATTGTCATTGACTGCCCCAGCCACCCCTACCACTACCACTGGATATGTCCTTAATTACCACTAGGACAGACCCAGCAGAAGTAACAGCATAGTGCTATACACTTGAAGTTGCCCTGGGCTGACTGTTCATTGATTCTGGACCCCATGAAGTCTCATGGCTTCAGGTTAAATGTGGGCAAGGAAACTGCCTGCTGCTTACCACCTACTACTTCCCTTGGCTAAATCAATTCATGTTGCACACACTTTTTAGAGGAAGCTTTGACATAGTCAACGGTGCACCAGGTGAGGGAATGTCGATGTCCAGGGTGGCTCAGCAGCAGCACTCCTGTTCAAGCTAATCAAGTTTGAAAGGAATAGCTGCTCAAGTGGGTCTGCAGTAGGTGGTAAGGAAACAAAGGGTTGGTGTGGGTAGGTGGGGGGGAAGCATACTTGACCTTATTCAACCAACTTGACCTTATTCAACCAGCAGCTTGGCAAGAATATCAGGAAGTGTTCACTGCAGTCTTTTTGAACAAGTCCCAACTTTGCAAATAACTAACCAGGATCACTGGTATTTCTATACAATGTTCCTCAGCTATTCTTGCTGAATCCAGTGATCCACGCTCCGATCCACATGTCTCTGTATGCCCACTCTTGGTCTCTCTGATCAGCCTCATGCTGGCTCAGCTTTCCTGTCCCTCAGCTCCGCTCCACTCTCCTGGTCTTTGTTCTAACAAGAAGTTTTCCATTTCGTTTTAGGGTAGGTGATGGTGTAGTGGTATTATCGCAAATATTACGTCAAACCCAGCTGATGTTCTGGGGACCTGGGTTCAAATCCCACTACAGCAGCTGGTGGAATTGGAATTCAAAAAAAGTCTGGAATTTGGAATTTAGAATCTACTGATTGCCATGAAATCATTGCCGATTGTTAGGAAAAACCCATCTGGTTCACTAACGTCCTGCAGGGGAGGAAATCTGCTGCCCTCACCTGCTCTGGCCTACATGTGATTCCAGACCCACAGCAATGTGGTTGACTCTCACCTGCCCTCTGAAATAGTCAAGCAAGCCACTCAGTTGTACCAATCGCTACCAAGAATCAAAGAAATGAACTGGATGGATCACCTGGGCATCAACATAGGCACCAGAAAAGACAAGAGCGGAAACCACTCCATTGACCCAGCAAAGTCCTCACTAACATCTGGGGGTTAGTGCCAAAACTGGGTGAGCTGTCTCACAGACTAGTCAAGCAACAGCCTGACATAGTCATACTCACAGAATCAGACAAACAATGTCCCAGACACCACCATCACCATCCCTGGATATGTCCTGTTCTTACCCACCCCCACCCCTGCCAGGACAGACCCACCAGAGGGGGGAGGGAGTTGCTCTAGGAGTCTTCAACATTGATACCAGACACCATGAAGTCTCATGGCTTCAAGTTAAACATGGGCAAGGAAACCTCCTGCTGATTCCCACATACCACACTCCCTCAGCTGATGAATCTGTATTCCTCAACGTTGAACAACACTTAGAGGAAGCACTGAGGATGGCAAGGACACAAAATGTACTCTGGGTGGGGGATTTCAATGTCCACCACCAACAAGAGTGGCTCGGCAGCAGCTGATCGGGTCCTAAAGGACATAGCTGCTAGACTGGGTATGTGGCAGGTGCTGAGGGAAAAGCGTACTTGACCTCATCCTTACTAATCTGCTAGCTGCAGTTGTATCTGTCCATAACAGTATCGATAAGAGTTATCATCGCACAGTCCTTGTGGAGACCAAGTCCCGCCTTCACATTGAGAACAACCTCCATCATGTTCTGTGGCACTATCACCGTGCTAAATGGGACAGACTTCGCACAGATCTAGCAACTGAAGACTGGCATCCATGAGGCGCTGTGGGCCATCAACAGCAGCAGAATTGTACTCCAACGCAATCTGTAACCTCATGGCCCAGCATATCCCCCACTCAACCATTATCATCAAGCCAGGGGATCAACCCTGGTTCAATGAAGAATGCAGGAGAGCATGCCAGGAGCAGCACCAGGCATACCTGAAGATGAGGTATCAACCTGGTGAAGCCACCAAACAGGACTACTTGCACGCCAAACAGTGAAAGCAGCAAGTGATAGACAGATCTAAGCGATCCCACAACCAACGGATCAGATCTAAGCTCTGCAGTCCTGCCACATCCAGTCGTGAATGGTGGTGGACAATTAAACAACTCACTGGAGGAGGAGGCTCCACAAATATCCCCATCCTCACTGATGGAAGAGCCCAGCACATCGGTGCAAAAGATAAGGCTGAAGCATTCACAGCAATCTCCAGCCAGAAGTGCCAGGTGGATGATCCATCTCTGCCTCCTCCAGTTGTCCCTAGCATCACAGATACCAGTCTTCAGCCAATTCGATTCACTCCACATGATATCAAGAAACAGTTGAAGACACTGAAAACTGCAAAGGCTACGGGCCCTGACAACATTCTGGCAATAGTACTGAAGACTTGTGCTCCAGAATTTGCCACTCTCCTAGCCAAGCTGTTCCAGTGCAGTTACAACACTGGTATCTACCCGACAATGTGGAAAATTGCCCAAGTATGTCCTGTACACAAAAAAGCAGGACAAATCCAACCCGGCCAATTACCGCCCCATCAGTCTACTCTCAATCATCAGTAAAGTGATGGAAGGTGTCATCAACATTGCTATCAAACAGCATCTGCTCAGAAATAACCTGCTCAGTGACGCCCAGTTTGGGTTCCGCCCAGGGCCACTCAGCTCCTGACCTCATTACAGCCTTGGTTCAGACATGGAAAAAAGAGCTGACTTCCAGAAGTGACGTGAGAGGGACAGCCCTTGATATCAAGGCTGCATTCGACCAAATGTGGCATCAAGGAGCCCTCGCAAAACTGGAATCAATGGGTGTCAGGGGGCAAATGCTCCAATGCTTGGAGTCATATCTGACACATAGGAAGACGGTCGTGGTTATGGGAGGTCAGTCATCTCAGCTCCAGGACATCTCTGCAGGAGTTCCCCAGGGTAGTGTCCTAGGCCTAACCATCTTCAGCTGCTTCATCAATGACCTTCCCTCCATCGTAAGGTCAGAGGTGGGGATGTTTGCCGATGATTGCACAATGTTCAGCACCATTCATGACTCCTCAGATACTGAAGAGGTCCATGTTCACATGTAACAAGATCTGGACAATATCCAGGCTTGGGCTTACAAGTGGCAAGTGACATTCACGCCACACACAGGCTATGACCATCACTAATAAGAGACAATCTAACCACTGCCCCTTGACATTCAATGGTGTTACCATTACTGAATCCCCCACTATCAACATCTTGGGGGTTACCATTGACCAGAAACTCAACTGGACTCACCACATAAACACAGTGACTACAAGAGCAGGCCAGAAGCTGGGAATACTGCAGTGAGTAACTCACCCCCTGACTCCTCAAAGCCTGTCCGCCATCTACAAGGCACAAGTCAGGAGTGTGATGGAATACTCTCCACTTGCCTGGATGGGTGCAGCCCCAACAACACTCAAGAAGCTTGACACCATCCAGGACAAAGCAGCCAGCTTGAATGGCACTACATCTGCAAGCATTCACTCCCTCCACCACCGACGCTCCGTAGCAGCAGTGTTTACTATTTACAAGATGCACTGCAGAAATTCACCAAAGATCCTCAGACAGATTCTTCCAAACTCACGACCACTTCCATCTAGAAGGACAAGACCAGCAGATGTATGGGAACACCACCACCTCCAAGTTCCCCTCCAAGTCACTCACCATCCTGACTTGGAAATATATTGCCGTTCCTTCACTGTCGCTGGGTCAAAATCCTGGAATTTCCTCCCTAATAGCATTGTGGGTCAACCCACAGCAGGAGGAATGCAGCAGTTCAAGAAGGCAACTCACCACCACCTTCTCAAGGGCAACTAGGGATGGGCAAGAAATGCTGGCCTGCCAGTGATGCCCACATCCCACAAAATGAATAGGAAAAAAAAGCCTCCATTGTGTTATCTGGCACTCCCACTGTGCTAAATGGGACAGACTTTGAACAAATCAAGCAACTTGACTGGACATCTGTGAAGCACTGAGGGCCATCAACAGAAACAGTTGTACTCCAGCACAATTGTAACCTCAGCCTGGCATATCTCCCCCTCAACCATCTTCATCAAGCTAG